TGGAAATTGGCAGGAAATATCATTAAAAGTGATAGCATTTAAAAATGGCAAAAAAAAAATGATGGCCAAAAAAATATTGCTGATTGTGTGTCCCTGATGGTCTAGTGGTCAGGATTCGGCGCTCTCACCGCCGCGGCCCGGGTTCGATTCCCGGTCAGGGAAGTGACTTTTAATATTTTTTATACAGGACAACATGATACTGATCCAATAGATTCAGATTTTTTTCTGGATCGTTATGAGCCTTCTTCAATAAAATATCATAATAAGACCTTGTGGCGCAACGGTAGCGCGTCTGACTCCAGATCAGAAGGTTGTGTGTTCAAGTCACATCAAGGTCATTGCTGGGAGTTCAGAAAACTTTTAGTCACATCAAGGTCAATGCTGGGAGTTCAGAAAACTTTAATATTAAAAAGTTTTCTAAAAGTAATATGATTTGAGTTTTGCTCTTCTAGATATTTATAAAGACATTACTGGAAATTGGCAGGAAATATTAATAAAAGGGTTAGCATTTAAAAATGGCAAAAAAAAACGATGGCTGAAAAAAATATTCATGATTGTGTGTCCCTGATGGTCTAGTGGTTAGGATTCGGCGCTTTCACCGCCATGGCCGTGGTTGGATTCCCGGTCAAGGAAGTTCCCTTTAATATTTTTGTTACACGACAAGAAGTTACTGATCCACTAGATTCTGATTTTTTTTCTGGATCATTATGAGCCTTCTTCCAGAAATCCACATATAAGACCTTGTGGTGCAACGGTAGCAGATCTGATTCCAGATCAGAAGGTTGTGTGTCCAAATCAATATGATTAAAAGTGATAGCATTTAAAAATGACTAAAAAAATGGCCAAAAAACAATGAGGTCGTGTGTCCCTGATGGTCTAGTGGTCAGGATTCAGCGCTCTCACCGCCGCGGCCAGGGTTCGATTCCCGGTCAGGGAACTGACTTCTAATATTTTTTAAACAGGACAACATGATACTGATCCAATAGATTCTGATTTTTTTCTGGATCGTTATGAGCCTTCTTCAATAAAATATCATAATAAGACCTTGTGGCATAACGGTAGCGCGTCTGATTCCAGATCAGAAGGATGTGTGTTCAAGTCACATCAAGGTCATTGCTGGGAGTTCAGAAAACTTTAATACTAAAAAGTTTTCTAAAAGTAATATAATTTGAGTTTTGCTCTTCTAGATATTTAAAAAGACATTACTGAAAATTGGCAGGAAATATGATTAAAATTGATAGCATTTAAAAATGGCAAAAAAAATGATGGCTGAAAAAATGTTGATGATTGTGTGTCCCTGATGGTCTAGTGGTTAGGATTCTGCGCTTTCACTGCCGTGGCCCGGGTTCGATTCTCGGTCAGGGAAGTTCCCATTAATATTTTTGATACACGACAAGAAATTATTGATCCACTAGATTCTGATTTTTTTCTGGATCGTTATGAGCCTTCTTCCAGAAATCCTCATATAAGACCTTGTGGTGCAACGGTAGTGCATCTGATTCCAGATCAGAAGGTTGTGTGTCCAAATCAATATGATTAAAAGTGATAGCATTTAAAAATGGCAAAAAATGACATATAAACAGTGAGGGTTGTGTGTCCCTGATGGTCAAGTGGTCAGGATTCAGCGCTATCACCGCCGTGGCCCGGGTTCGATTACCAGTCAGGGAAGTTCACTTTAATATTTTGAATTGAATTGAATTAGCCTTTATTTGTCACATACACTGTTACATGTAGTGAAATTGGACCCCTTTGGCCACAGACATAGACTGGGTGGGAACAGGCCAGTGTTGAGAGGTAGCATTTACAGAGAGAAACAGAGAAAATGGATAAACATTAGGTAAATTAGCTTAAAAAAAGAGCCTTTCCGCATTGTCCTTCAAAGAAAAGAGCACTGTGGAGCAGGTTAAAAAAAAGCCATTTGCAATCAAGCACATTGACAAATACAGGAAAGAACATCGCAGGATGAGGTAGGGGTCGGGGAAGTTGTGTAGTCGCTGTAGTCCGCAGCCGGCATTTTTCTGCAGCCATGGAAAGGCGCTGTCCAATGACCCGTCAGATTACAGCGTTGGGAAAAATAGCTGGCGGAGATAAGTGGATGCAGGGGAGGGTTCTGAGAGTGTCCCCTTATCGAGTTCTGCACGGGGGATGTTTAGACTCCTCTTCGCGGCCTCCAAGGCCAGAGGAGATAAGGGAAGCCAGATGGTACAGAAGTTAATTTAGGTCAAAAGCTGTAAATTTCCAGATTTTTAGAGTCTTTCCCCGGTCTCCATATTATCCAACTTACGTTTCAATTCTGCCAGCCTTTCCAGGATGAAATCCAGTTTGCGGTCACAGACCGTTACATGAGTCCCGACAGTTTTAAGTCCAGTCAACATTCCATTCCAGTCGGTCAGCTTAGTGGGGCTTTGAGCACTGACCGCTTTTGATAATCGCCGATAGCCGAGAGCTCCACATATTCCAATCAGCAGAATCCCAGTTATCACAGTTCCAATTATGTAGATGTCTTCGACATCCTCCAGGGACAGAGCAGCCAGGCACACGATCCTCCACTTCGACCAGGAGTCCATCGTGTAGCCAGCAGCATAAGTTCCAGCAGGACAGGTGGGTTCCCCCGAACCCACGCTCCTCATTGAGAAAATGGTGTCAATTGCATTTAGAGACCAGTTGATCAGATCCATAGTTCCTTTTATTTAGAGAGCCGGATAGTGAGAGTCTCTGCAGACAGACACAAGACGAGAAGCCCAGCTGGGATGATAAGAGATAAGGGAGTAAGAGAAAGAGCATGTATCACCGCCGAAGGCTGAGAGAAGAAATATATAAAAATATTTTTGATACACGACAAGAAGTTACTGATCCACTAGATTCTGATTTTTTTTCTGGATCGTTATGAGCCTTCTTCCAGAAATCCTCATATAAGACCTTGTGGTGCAACGGTAGTGCATCTGATTCCAGATCAGAAGGTTGTGTGTCCAAATCAATATGATTAAAAGTGATATCGTTTAAAAAAGACAAAAAATGGCCAAAAAACAGTGAGGTTGTGTGTCCCTGATGGTCTAGTGGTCAGGATTCGGTACTCTCACCGCTGCGCCCCGGGTTCGATTCCCGGTCAGGGAAGTGACTTTTAATATTTTTAATACAGGACAACAAGATACTGATTTACTAGATTCTGATTTTTTTCTGGATCGTTATGAGCCTTCTTCCAGAAATCCTCATATAAGACCTTGTGGTGCAACGGTAGTGCATCTGATTCCAGATCAGAAGGTTGTGTGTCCAAATCAATATGATTAAAAGGGATAGCATTTAAAAATGACAAAAAAAAATGGCCAAAAAACAATGAGGTTTTGTGTCCCTGGAGGTCTAGTGGTCAGGATTCGATTCCCGGTCAGGGAAGTTCCTTTTAATATTTTTGATACCAGACAACAAGATACTGATCCACTAGATTCTGATTTTCTACTAGATCGTTATGAGCCTTCTTCCAAAAATCCTCATATACGACCTTGTAGCGCAACAGTAGCGCTTCTGGTACCAGATCATGGGAGAGCAATAAACTTTGATTTTAAGAAGTTTTCTAAAATTAGCATGATTTGAGTTTTGCTCTTCTAGATAATCAAAACGGCATTACTAGAAATTGCCTGGAATTATGATCAAAATGTGATAGCATTTAAAAATTAAAAAAAAAATGATGGCGTAAAAAACAATGAGGATTGTGTGTCCCTCAAGGTCTAGTGGTCAGGATTCGATTCCCGGTCAGGGCAGTTCCTTTTAATATTTTTGATACACGACAACAAGATACTGATTCACTAGATTTTGATTTTTTTTCTGGATCGTTATGAGCCTTCTTCCAAAGTACCTCATATGAGACCTTGTGGCGCAAGGGTAGCGCGTCTGACTCCAGATCAGAAGGTTCTGAGTTCAAATCACATCAAGGTCAAAGCTGGGAGTTCAAAAAACTTTATTACTAAAAAGTTTTCTAAAAGTAATATAATTTGAGTTTTGCTCTTCTAGATAATCAAAAAATATTTGATTTTTTTAACAGGGAAGTTCCTTTTCATTTTTTTGATACACGATAACAAGATACTGATCCACTAGATTCTGATTTTTTTCTGGATCGTTATGAGCCTTCTTCCAAAAATCCTCATATAAGACCTTGTAGCGCAACAGTAGCGCTTCTGGTACCAGATCATGGGAGAGCAATAAACTTTAATTTTAAAAAAGTTTTCTAAAATTAATATGATTTGAGTTTTGCTCTTCTAGATAATCAAAACGGCATTACTGGAAATTGCCAGGAAGTATGATAAAAAAGTGATAGCATTTAAAAATGGAAAAAAAAAATGATGGCCAAAAAACAATGAGGGTTGTGTGTCCCTGAAGGTCTAGTGGTCAGGATTCGATTGCCAGGAAGTATGATAAAAAAGTAATATCATTTAAAAATGGCAAAAAAAAAATGATGGCCAAAAAAACAATAAGGTCTGTGTTTCCCTGATGGTCTAGTGGTCAGGATTCGGCGCACTCACTGCTGAGACCTGAGTTTGATTCCCAAGCAGGGAACTTCCTTTTAATATTTTTGATAGAAGATACTGATCCACTAGATTCTGATTTTCTTCTAGATCGTTATGAGTATTCTTCCAAAAATCCTCATGTAAGACCTTGTGTCGCAACGGTAGCGCGTCTGACTCCAGATCAGAAGGTTGTGTGTTGAAATCACATCAAGGTCAATGCTGGGAGAGCAGTAAACTTTTATTTAAAAAAAAGTTTTCTGAAATTAATATGATTTGACTTTTGCTCTTCAGGATAATCAAAATGGCATAACTGGAAACTGCCAGGAAGTATGATAAAAAAGTGATAGCATTTAAAGATGGCAAAAAAAATGATGGCCAAAAAACAATGAGGGTTGTGTGTCCCTGAAGGTCTAGTGGTCAGGATTCGATTCCCAGTCAGGGAAGTTCTTTTTAATATTTTTGATACACTACAAAAAGCTACTGATCCACTAGATTCAGATTTTTTTCTGGATCGTTATGAGCCTTCTTCTAAAAATCCTCATATAAGACCTTGTAGCGCAACGGTAGCGCTTCTGATACCAGATCATGGGAGAGCAATAAACTTTAATTTTAAAAAGATTTCTAAAATTAGCATGATTTGAGTTTTGCTCTTCTAGATAATCAAAACGGCATTACTGGAAATTGCCAGGAAGTATGATAAAAAAGTGATAGCATTTAAAAATGGCAAAAAAAATGATGGCCAAAAAACAATGAGGGTTGTGTGTCCCTGATGGTCTAGTGGTCAGGATTCGGTGCTCTCACCGCTGAGACCTGAGTTTGATTCCCGGGCAGGGAACTTCCTTTTAATATTTTTGATAGAAGATACTGATCCACTAGATTCTGATTTTCTTCTAGATTGTTATGAGTATTCTTCCAAAAATCCTCATGTAAGACCTTGTGGCGCAACGGTAGCGCGTCTGACTCCAGATCAGAAGGTTGTGTGTTCAAATCACATCAAGGTCAATGCTGGGAGAGCAGTAAACTTTAATTTTAAAAAAGTTTTCTAAAAGTAATATGATTTGAGTTTTGCACTTCTAGATAATCAAAACAGCATTACTGGAAATTGCCAGGAAAAAAATGGAAAAAAAAAATGATGGCCAAAAAACAATGAGGGTTGTGTGTCCCTGAAGGTCTAGTGGTCAGGATTCGATTGCCAGGAAGTATGATAAAAAAGTAATATTAAAAAATGGCAAAAAAAAAATGATGGCCAAAAAAACAATAAGTATTGTGTGTCCCTGATGGTCTAGTGGTCAGGATTCGGCGCTGTCACCGCTGAGACCTGGGTTTGATTCCTGGGCAGGGAACTTCCTTTTAATATTTTATATAGAAGATACTGATCCACTAGATTCTGATTTTCTTCTAGATCATTATGAGCCTTCTTCCAGAAATGCTCATGTAAGACCTTGTGGCGCAACGGTAGCGCGTCTGACTCCAGATCAGAAGTTTGTGTGATCAAATCACATCAAGGTCAATGCTGGGAGAGCAGTAAACTTTTATTTAAAAAAAAGTTTTCTAAAATTAATATGATTTGACTTTTGCTCTTCTAGATAATCAAAATGGCATAACTGGAAATTG